TCCCCTTAGCCTGCTCTGGCCAAGATGCTCCTAGAAGACATACAGATTCTAAAGGAGGAAGAAGGATTCCTCCATGCTGAGAATCTTACATTAGATTAAAATACTCTTTGAAAGGAATAAAGAACTGTACTTTCCGAAGTATATTTTTAAGGGAAAATATACTTATATTTTATTTAAAAAGTATATTTTATAAAAATATACTTGTTTGTGGTAAAAATTCAGGAAAATAAAAAACTTGTAAAAGTTATACAAAGTCTACCATATAGCAATAAACACTACTGATACAGTATTTAGAAAACCATTGAGCATCTCTCTATTTACATAGAATCAAAAAGATAAATAATTTTTTAATTGTAATTTAACTACAAATGATTTTTGTAATCTGATTTTTCACTCAATAATATGACTCACATCATTTTTTGTTGGCTGTATACTAATTTATTTAAACCATTACCTGCTTAGGATAAATTGTAAGAAGCAGAACTGTTCTTAGAGGGTGAGTAGACAACTCCTGGATCACAGCGTCCTCTGCCTGCTCATACTGGAACTATTAATTTTGCCTGACTGGTGTCACTCTCCCACTTCCCTTATAACAGACTGAAATAATTTTGGGGAGATGCCCATCTTTAACTCACCTTCCTGTGGTAAAGGGAGGACTAACCCCACCCCTAGGCCCTTGACACAACTTGACCCATCAAAGAGGTGCCCGAGATTGGCTCAAGGATGACCATGAGCTAAATGGATCCAGGGAAGGCTGGGGCCTGAGCCTGGACTGGAACTGTGTAGAAGGGGAACACATGATTTTCTGGGTCTACTAGCAACAATGATGGAGTCTGGGACTGCTATAGGGAGAAAGTCACCCTTGGTAGAGTGTTGTTGTCCAAGAATTGAAGTCAACACATAGGAGGTTGAAGCTGAGAGGAAGAGGATGGGGGAGGGGAGAGTTCCTGGACTCAGACAGTTCTAGAACCAGCTTTATCCTCTGGGTCCTTTGACTTCTTGAGCAGACATATACATAATCTCTTTTCCTTTTTTTATGCCTTAGATCACTGTAGTTGTCTTTCCCTTGTAATTAAAAAATGTCCTGAATAAGAAAAAAAAGGTCCTTCTCTGGGCCTCATCCCTAGTACATAGGCACTGACCCCAGGGCCCTGACCAGGTGGCATCTAGTGATCGCTCATGGCTGTCTGGCCACAGTGACTGATCCCAGGCTGGACACTTGCCCAGAGAGAGCATGGCTGGAGACAAGAGTGCTGGGAGATAGGCACATCAGCATCTGAGCTGGGAAGAGAAGTTCTTCCCACATCTGCAAAGAGGGGCTCACAGAGGCCTGGCTCACTTCCTCCTGTTTTGGGGAAATAATAATTCCATTCAAAAAGGCAGGGGGCTTAGGGGAGCTCATTGTTAAGTAACTGTGAAAAACTCTGGACTGAAAAACAAAAACCACAAAAAGTGCTTTTAGTTTTCTAGGTCTGTCTCACTCCTAGTTTATCCACATGCAAATGTGGGACTGCCTAGTCCTCCAGCCACCACCTTGCTGTGAGTCCTCTCTACCCTGGCTGCCTGTCTCTGCCCCTCCTATTTGTCTGTATGAATGTTTCTTCTTTAATTCCTTGGCTGTCAGACTTCCATATAGTTTGGTTTTATGTCAGTTCTGGTTATTTTTTGTTTTTACATTTGTTGTTGTCCTCCTTTTGGTGTTGTAAGGACACAGAGTGTATCTATCTATGCCTCCATATTGGACAGAAGTCAAAACAAATTAACATCTTGTTTCAGAATTTCCATGACTTGCTCCCCTACATTCAGTCAACCTTCAAGACCTATCCACTCTCTCTGCTCAACTCCTTTCTCGGAAACAGCCTCCTCATTCATCTCTTGCCATCTTGGGCCATATCCCTCTAATCCATTTTCCCAACTACAGGCAAGTGATCATTTAACCTTGAAATTTTTCAAATCATTCTGTTTATGGTACCTGTTGCCACAATAAGCTTTTCATTTTTACACTGGCAAGTATGTCTATTTTTCCTTTTTAGCTTCAAGGTTTTCAGACTTATAATGGATGTCTAAGCAGGCCTTCCCTTCCTTGCCCTCTAGACTTCTAATGCAAATGACAATCCAGGGGTTATGTCTTACAATGTATAAAATATTTGCACACAGTGACATAGAAAGGCAACTTTAGAAAAATGGGCAATAGGTGTGCATAAGCAATTCACAAACGAGGAAACTAAACTAATAAACAAAAATGGAAAAAATCCCGTGATCACTGGTGGTCAAAGAAACAAAGTGATACCACTTTACATCCTTCAGACTAGACAAACTTGAAAACAGCTATCACACTGATTGCTGACAGGGAGAAGGGAATGCTCATTTGAACTGCTGGTTCAAAGGGCAATTTCGCCAGCCTTTCTGAAAAGCATTCTAGTAACATTTTAAAAGTAGAAACTGCAATATGTTTGTTCTAATTTTCCATTGCTGTGAAGCTATTTTCTAGCACAAAACCACTCATATAAAGGACCTGTGGATAAGAGTATTTACTGCTGTATTGTTTGAATAGCAAAATCCTGGAAATCGGGTGGCTATTTATCTCTAAAAGAATCATTGACTTTATTATGAAACATCCGCATCATACTAAAATAGGATCCCATTAGAAATGTGAAGTCTAGCTACATATTGACTTGGAAGCATGTTTATGAGGTGCAGTTGAGTGAGGAAAACAAGGTGCAGAAACTTGTGATATGATTCTGTTTTGTAAAATGTTACCAAATGAATGCAAAGCCATTTAGATGTAGAGTTTGGATGTAGAACTTATATAGAGAGTGCCAGTGTGAGTGTGTGTCTGTACATGGCTATGTGAACACAGAGGAAACTGCAGGAGGACCCACAGTGTGTTATTAACATGGGTGACGGATGCAGGACTTGAGGACCATAGAGAGTAGAGAAGAAAGGGAGGAAATGAACCAAGACAAAAAGACAAAGGAGAAAGGGTCAATAGTAAACTGTTATAAAATCATATCTGCATGTATGAGATGATCATATTTATGAGTTTTTATAAGTTACATGTGTGTATGTGTATTAAAAAATCTGAAGAGTTAAAAATGCAAATCTAATCAGTTCATTCTTCCTAAAACTTTACAATGGCTATCTGTGCCCCTGTGCATCAATCCAGAATCTCCAGCCTGGGCTCCGAAGCTCCTGCTCTCCTTTCCACCCCCCTACAGAATAGCTACCCTCCCCACTCTGTGTCAATGTCACACATTGCCCTGGACCCCCAGTGCCTGCCCTGCAGCCCTCCTACTGTTTTAGCTCTTCACATCTACTGTTCTTCCCTGCCAAGGCCACTTACCCATGCCTGGATAACTCCAACTCATTTTTGTAAGTCTCAGCTTAAACACCACTTTCTCAAGGAATTTTCCTGACCCACAGATATGGTTATGTATCTTGATATATATTCTCATTGATTCCTTGTCCTTAATAAAATTCTATTTACTATTAGCCTTTTCCCCCCAAACTTTGCACAAATTTCCCAAACTGTAATTTACTGTTTTACTGTTTATTTGTTGTGTCCAGATTGGATAAGAACCCGTGGCAGAATCTGAGCATTACACCCTGGATCTCATATTGTGGTGATGTAGAATCACCTCTTCCAACCCTCTTGCCACCCCATGGCTCTCTTAGTCATGATAAGCCCATATAGCTTTCTAGGAGCAGAAGTTCATACCACCAACTGACATCCCTGGCACTATCTCAGATTATCTCCCATCTCATCCCCAGTGTTCCTCTGGCCAGCTGTGTTCCTTGGCTGCTCAGGGTTCCCTACTTTGCTCCCATCCCCCAGAGAGGAATCCCTGGGCAGAGAAGCCTAGTTACTGATGGAATCCCTCCTGCTTTGTGGTCACAATCTGAGCTTGAGAGGAGGCTACAGTGAGAGTGACTTAAAATTCCAGAGTGTGTGTGAGGACAGCTGGAGCTGACATTTGCTATTTCACCAGAGAACGAACTAAGACAGTGAGTTACCAGTAGGCACACACCAGTGAGACATGATAACCAAGTTTATTAAACATTATCTTGTTTTCACTGTACATTTCTAATTAAGCATGTTTATGAAAAAAATAAATACAATTCATATGAAGAGAGAAAACTTAGTTCTGTTTATTTTCAAACTATATTGTTAATAAAGTCTTCTATTTATAACAATTGCTTTATTTCTTTTTTTAATATATTTTATTGATTATGCTATTACAGTTGTCCCATTTCCCCCCTTCACTTCCCTCCACCCTGCACACACTCTCCCACTCACATTTCCCCCCTTTACTTCATGTCCATGTGTCATACTTATAAGTTCTTTAGCTTCTACATTTCCCATGCTATTCTTGCCCTCCCCCTGCCTATTTTCTACCTACCATCTATGCTACTTATTCTCCATACCTTTCCCCGCTCTCAACTCCTCCCACTCCCCTGTTGATAACCCTCCATGTGATCTCTATTTCTGTGGTTCTGTTCCTGTTCTAGTTGTTTGCTTAGTTTCTTTTGGTTTTGTTTTAGGTGTGGTTGTTAATAATTGTGAGTTTGCTGTCATTTTACTATACATGTTTTTTTGATCTTCTTTTTCTTAGATAAGTCCCTTTAACATTTCATAAAATAAGGACTTGGTGATGATGAACTCCTTTAACTTGACCTTATCTGAGAAGCACTTGATCTGCCCTTCCATTCTAAATGAAAGCTTTGCTGGATAGAGCAATCTTGGATGTAAGTCCTTGTCTTTCGTGACTTGGAATGCTTCTTTCCAGCCCCTTCTTGCCTGTAAGGTCTCTTTTGAGAAATCAGCTGACAGTCTGATGGGAACTCCTTTGTAGGTTACTGTCTCTTTATCTCTTGCTGCTTCTAGGATTCTTTCCTTTATTTTTACCTTGGCCAATGTAATTATGATGTGCCTTGGTGTGTTTCAGAAGAAAGAAAGAAATAACCACACAGAAAAGAATGAACAAATAAGAATTCAAAAAAATGAGGAGAGGCTTAGGAACCTCCGGGACATCTTTAAACGTTCCAACAACAATTGCTTTATTTCTATAAGTGGTTGCATTTTTGTCTTGACACAAAAGGGGGCAGAAAGAAAAGGCTGTATGACTCTGTTTTCCCAAAAGACAAAGGGAAGCCAGATTCCCATCATGATGACCGCCCTTGGTAAGCTTAGGTAAAACATTCAGATTTCAAAATGAGAAGAAAATATGGAAATAAATTGTACTACAGAGACCTTTGAGATGGGGGAGTATTAATTCCAAGAGCTTTCAATATTAAATAACCTGAGCTTCACATTCCACTGGCAGTCATTCTATTCTCTGTGCAGGGAGGAGTGAGTTGGACAATATCTTCCATAACCTTTATTAGCATGGGGGGGGGGCAGTAAGTCTCACATATAAATTCCTTCACAAATGGGAAGTCAAATAGGAAGTGTCCTGCTTAGTAAATCACATAATGGGGTTGCTAGTTTTATCTCTTAGAAAAGTGCCTTTGGTGACTTGTTATCTTTGAAGTGGATGAGCCAGGAGGATGTCAGCCCACAATGTTTCCCTGCTTTTCCTTCTCCCCAGGACTGTCCAGCATTCTCAGTCTTTCCTCCAGTCTCTGCTTCCATTCTTCTCTGAGCCTTAGGAGGAGAAACAATACACGTGGCTTAGTGCATTTGCCTCCACATCTGCTGGTCCAGTAAAGTTTTCTTTTCCTTCTAAAGAATATATATTTTTTAATTTAAAAAATGTTTATTGATTTTAGAGAGAGAGAGAGAAACATTGATGTGAGAGAGAAACATCAATCGGTTGTTTCCCATATGTGTCCCAAATGGGGATCAAATCCACAACCTAGTATGTGCCCGGAGTAAGGATTGAATCCATGACTTTTTGGTGTATGCAAGAATGTTCCAACCAACTGAGCCACATAGATAAAGGCCTTATAAAGAATATCTTTAAGAGAAATACATGACTTTTACAAATTAGTGAAGAAAAAGATGAATAGATAGATGAGAAAAGTCTATGAATATATAGTTTTCTCTAAAGTTTTCTTCTTAAATTTATATGTAACTCAATCAAGAGTATGTAAACTCAGTCAAGATTTTAGCAGAACTTTTTTGTAGATAAGAACAAACTGATTCTAAATTTTATATGAAAAGGTAAAAGAAATAGGTTAGTGAAAACAATTTTGAAGAAGTAAGTTGGAGAACTGACACTACATGATTTTGAGGCTAAATATTAGGTTACCACCATCAGGATGGTGTGGCATTGGTGAAGAAACAGGCAATAGATCAATGGGATGAAATAGAGAGTCCAGAAATAAATATACATAAATATGGCCAATTGATTTGGACAAGAGGCAAAGACAACTCAATGGAGGTAGCTGTGTGTATGTGTGTGTGTCTGTGTGTGTGTGTATAAATTTAAACAAATGGGACTAGGACATCATACATCCATATTCAAAAGAAAAGATGGGTTTGGATCCATACCCCACATCTAGTAGCATAGAACTGATGTAAAATGTAAGACTAAGACTTCTAAGGAAAAAAACCATAAAATAATATCTTTATTATTTTCCTGGAGATAAAGGAAGAATTTTTAGATACAACACAAAGAATGATTTATATATAAAAAAAGAAAATTTGGGACTTAAATTTACTCTGTGAAAGACACTCTAAAGAGAATAAAAGACAAACCACAAACAGGGAGAAGATATTTGCAAATAGCATACTTAGAGACTTGTTTCCATAATATACAGCTAAATATACCACAGGCAAAAAAATTTGAACAGACACTTTACTAAGAAGTGGTATGGATGACAAATCAGCACATAAAAGATGCTCAACATGATTAGAAAAATGCAAATTAAAACTGCAATGAGGTACCACCAATATCATAGAATGATCAAAATAAACAAAAAAGAAAAAACAAGAACACCAAGAACCCACAAAAACCCACAAAAGAAAAACATGTAAAAATAAAATTAAAAAATAAACTCTTACAACAAAAGCCAAAACAAATGTTGGCAAGAACATTGAGTAGCTTGAACTCTCTCACATCATTTGGAAATGCAAAATGGTACAGTCAGTATGGAAAACAGTTTAGCAGTTTCCTATACAAATCAACTTAAATTTACTATATGATCCAGTAATCTCAATCTGGGTATTTACTCAAAAGAAATGTCAACTTATATCCACACAGACACCTATATGTAAATGTTCATGGCAGTTTTATTTATAGTCACCTAAAACTGGAAGTAATCTAAATGTCCTTCAACTAAGGAATGGATAACCAAATTACAACACATCTATGTAACAGAATAGTATTCAGTGATGAGAAGGAATGGGAAATTGATACATACAAGAATTATGTCCCAAAGGACCACATACTGTAAAATTCACTTATGACATTCTGAACAAGGCAAAACCAGAGGGATAGAGAACGGATCAGCAGTTGTTAAGGACTGGAAATTGGCAGAGGAGTTAACCATAAAAGAGCACAATGAGGACATTTTTGAGAGCAATGGAACTGTTCTATATCTTGATTGTGGTGATCACATCATTCTGAGCATTTATCAAAACTCATAGAACTGTATACAAAGAGGAAACAAATGCATGGTGCTTATAAATCAATAAAGAAGAAACTCTGTAGTCAAATGGATAGAGGATGTAAATTGGCTCCTCCAGAAGAAGAAATTCAGCTGTTTCCTATACATATAACAAATTTCAATCAAACTTATAATTAATTAAATTCAGTTTAAAACACAGGCTGAACTAACAAGCAAAACAGAGACAGACTTATAGATAAAGAGCAGACTGACAGCTTTCGGCAGGGGTGGGGGGAAGCCTGGGGTTGGGTGGAGGAATTGAGCAAAACAAAAACAGAAAAGAGAGGGAGAGAGCGAGAAAGAACTCATGGACATGGACAACAGTCTGGTGATTGCAGTAGTGGGGGATGGGTGGAGGTGGAAGAGGGTATGGGAGAATAAATGGTGATGAAAAAACAAACAAAACAGAAGAAAAAGTCAGTGAGATTCTATGTTCATTTGTTTGATTAATATAGTTAAGTTTGATAACACAGGATATTAGCAACTGTGGAAATTAGTACTCCCATACTCAGGGTGAAAGTTGCAAGAAAAGAAGGCTATCAAACTTTTAAAAACTCTTATTTTTGACCTAACATTTTCATTTATATGAAGTTATCCCACAATATTTATCCATATATGCAAGAAGATATGCACAGGTATCTTTATTACAACATTGTTTGTGAAGCCTAAAAATGAAAAATGAACTGTCTTTCGCTGTGACTGGTTAAATATGTTGTTACATCATTACAATAGAAAACACTAAAGAAGAACTGATTGGGCTATCTTCTTAAGACAGACTAGGTTTAAAAAGTTAGGGGCTTTTTACATAAAAATATTGGATACATATTTATTTTCTTATTCAAACTTGGGTTTTGGGGAAAGATATACAAGGAACCATGGATGGCAGGGCTCTTCAGAGGGCAGGTCTAGGAGGCTCAGTGGGAAGGACACTCATGCTTAAATATACACCCTTTCTTGATGCTTGAATTTAAAAAATATACACCTGTGTTAATTTCTTAAGGGTAAAAATAACCAAAATGAAAAGATTAGATAATTGCTTTTATTAATTTTGTGGGGCTGCCATAATAAAATACCAGATTGTGTGGCTTAAACAATAGAAACTTATTTTCTCACAGTTCTGAAGGGTGGAAAGTCCAAGATCAAAATGTGGGTAGGTTTGATTTCTCCCAAGATATTTCTTTGGCTTGTAGATGGCCCTCTTGCTCCATCCTCACATGGCCTTTTCTCTCTAAGTGTACATTCCTGATGTCTCTTTATGCGTTCAAGGTCCTCTTTTAATAAGGACATCAGTTAGATTGGATTAGGGCCCACCCTAAAAGTCTCATTTTAACCAAATCAACTCTTTTAAAAGTGCTATCCTCAAATATTGTTACATTCTGAGGTACAGGGTGGGAATTAGGGCTTCAACATATGAATTGAGGGGCATGGTTCAGTTCATAACTGATTAAGTGAAATAATACATTCTAATACAGGAAAAGAAATACACGATAAAATATTTAAAATGATTCAACATTATTTTTACTCTTATAAATAAAATAATACTTAATACTCTGCCCATGTACCAGTCTATTTTCTCCAGAGTGATTCCCAGATGTAAATAGCTTAGAGGGCATAAATACTTTGAAGACTCTAGAAGCATTTTACCTTATTGGCTCCAGGAAACTTCTTACTTAAAACTCTGCTCAATTATGGGCCCAAGAAAGAAGGGAGGAAATCTGGAGTGTCAACCTGTCAGCTTGTTGTTGTTTGTGGTGTTGCTTAAGCAGATTAGCAACTGAGGATTGGAAGTTAAAATATTGAGAGAATTAGGGGTCTGGGAGAATGTTAAAACACTGGTTATAATCCTCATTCTACCTCAACTTTAAATAAAAGCAAATGACATAAACATGGTTTGCCTGTTTGAGAGGGGGATAAAACGGAACTGCTGTTCTCCCATTAGTGGGCAACTGTCTCACACAGATCTTTCCACATTTTACTAAAGGACTGATGATTTATTACTCTTATACAGACTTCTGTTATTATTCATCTATGAGTAATTTTCATAGTTACATTTCTTCATTATGGTTGTTAAATATTAATTCTATATTTTAATTTTTAACCAACCTCTTCAACCTGGAGACTATCTAGGCTCACAAATTGTTTTTGTTTAGTATCTGAAAGTTTCTGTAACTAAATATGCCTCAGAAGTACATAAATTTTGTCAGTGGGATCTTTTAAATCTCACTAATAAGGGTTGATGTCTGTGTTTCACTGAACTTGAGGGACTTCTTTTTTTAATTGTTTTTATTTTTTTAAAGATTTTATTTTTATTTTTTAAATATATTTTATTGATTATGCTATTACAGTTATCCCATTTACACCCCCTCCCACTCACATTACCCCACTTTAGTTCATGTCCATGGGTCATACATATAAGTATTTAATTCTTAATTCATGTCCATGGGTCATACATATAATTCTTAACCTACCTATTTTCTATTGTCTGTTTATTTTGTACCTACCATTTATGCTACTTATTCTCTGTACCTTTTCCCCCTCTCTCCCCTTCCCATTTCCCTACTGATAACCCTCTATGTGATTTCCATTTCTGTGATTCTGTTCCTGTTCTACTTGTTTGCTTAGTTTTTGGTTTTGTTTTTGTTTTTGTTTTAGAATCAGTTGTTAACAACTGTGAGATTGTTGTAATTTTACTGTTCATATTTTTTATCTTTTTCTTAGATAAGTCCTTTTAACATTTCATATAATAATGGCTTGGTGATGGTGAACTCCTTTAATTTGACCTTATCTGGGAAGCACTTTTTCTGCACTTCCATTCTAAATGATAGCTCTGCTAGATAGAGTAATCTTGGATGTAGGTCCTTGCCTTTCATGACTTGGAATACTTCTTTCCAGCCCCTTCTTGCCTGTAAGATCTCTTTTGAGAAATCAGCTGATAGCCTTATGGGCACTCCTTTGTAGGTAACTGTCTCTTTTTCTCTTGCTGCTTTTAAGATTCTCTCCTTATCTTGAATCTTGAGTAATGTAATTATGATG